GTACCATCACTCGCTGGGTGGTTTCGAAGAATCCACAAAGCTACGGTGAGTGGTTCTCCTTTCAATCACCTGCGTGCCCTGGGGGTCTCGAGTCTTAGTGGGGTTAGTGGAAACCTTTGGTCGGATAGTCACAGATTGTTATGATCCTTTCAAGCTCTGAAGAAGGCGATTTCGCCGAAACGTCAGCCTAATAAAGCATTCTTAAAAACCTCGTGAAGAGTTCAAGGAAACAGTAAATTCAATGATACAATTATGCCGAGGTTCATAGAAAGCCGTACATGGAACTTTCCAGTTCCCTCAGCTCATTGCTCATTGCCGACATGGCCATTCAAATCAACTGCTATGGGGAAATAGTTTTCTTCCGAATTGATCTGATGGCATCGTCAAGATCCGCATTTTTTCATTTTTCGCATTTTTTCCAAGTTATCCGCACTCAGGGCAGCCGGCTTGTGGTGCGTGCCGATTCTTGAACGGCTCTGGCAGAAATCATAATCCAGAAGCAATCATTGAAGCGCTACACCTCGGATATGATACCAAAATCAATCGGGAACAGGACTATAAGGAGAGATTTAGTTTTTCGGGAGCTATATTTTCCAATACATTTCACTCACAAACTGCGGGCCTTCCCCGGGGAGCTTTGAAAAGTGTCCCAGTAGGTGTTATTCACCATATTGCTATGAGTGGAAGGCAACGAATCTCCTTCCCAAAAACACTTACTCGCTGAGATATCGATTTTTTTTGTCAGGAATGTGGGTTTAGTGGCTACTTCGCTAATCTCTCTTGCTATAGAAGGATTTTCACTATTTGAAGCATCATTCACCTCAAAGTTTGAGCTTGGAAATAGCGATAGTCATGAATTTCGCGCAAACATGCAGTCATTTGTGATTTGGTTGCAGTCAAAATTAAGTTATATCCAAACACACACACATGAGCACCTCTGCCGCTTTCTTTGTAAATATATCGTAGTGAACATGCCATTCAACTGAAAAGAAGGGATGTACAAAAGTGCATCTATCAGAATTTGTATACTTTAGGGTTGCTTTGTAAATGATTACAGTGATTGCGTGTCTGTGACTATTTTAGATAAGACGTTTCCAAGGAGAATTTTTTAGAGTCAAGTGGCATGATCTTTCTTTCCCCGTTGGATTTTGGCGAAATGAAATTAAATGGAGAACGCAACTGAAGGTCAATATCGTAGCGGATCACATTTGCTCTGGTAAACATTTTTTCAGTTTTAATTTCAAATGTCCCTCAAGTGTTCTTCAAAAAGTCGTTCCCATTGCATTATATCAAATCGGATCAAGCCAAACTTAAATATCTTTAACTGGTTACATTATGACCAAAATTAATTCGCTCGCTACTACTGCTCATCTCGACGAAAAGAGGATCTGCTATGTGTTCCAGCTTTTCTACTGGTAGTTTTCGAATAACGTGAAATTTCTTTCTGAAGGAGCAAGAGAAGAGAGGCATGGTGAATAGTTGAAGATGCCCAGGAGAAGTGAGGGGATTGGAAGCATACAGATCATCACAACAAAAAAAAAACATATCGTGACGATTTCCAATTGTAAGATTTATCTTGAACGGGAGTCTATAAAAATTTCTACAAAAAAAACCTGCTAACTTGCTGGAAACCCGTCCCATCAGTTTTCTCTACGTTGCACTTCATCCAATCTCTGACAAGCTTAGCGAACTGTTTCTCTTCGTTCTAGATCTCATATCAACTTATTTTCATTTCGAAACGCAGAATTTACAAGAGGAGACACATCTCTGAGACACAAGACATATTGTTATCTATGTTCAGCGAATGGGTGAACGAAGATGGAAGGTGGGAGAAGGCAAAAGGCATGGAACCAGTGGAAGTTATTTGAAACGAAAACTGATCTTCCAACAGGTGCTTCCAGACTCAGCCAGCATTCGTTCCGGCTGTTCTATATTCGGTGTTATGGGCGTGATGTCGTCTATAAAGCGATGAGGTGATGTAAATGCCGGCCGTCAGGGACAAGGCCAAAATAGTAGAATAAATTCAATATCCGATGAAGGCTCTACAATTACATCTGGAATGCCGCATAACGTTGGTCGTTCTCGCAAAAACGGTAACCCGGAGTCACAAGAAAATACCTAATCTAGAAGCATAGGTAGACCTTATACTATTCGGTAATAAATTTTGCATGTAGCATTTCTGAGCCACAGTTGAAAAAAAACGTACTGTTATTCAAGCGAGCCTTCAATTTATTGTACAGATTTGTATCCGTGTTGTTTACAGATAAGGCCGATGAGCAGGACCTCGAAACAAGCAGTGGTAACTATACGATCACAAAATCATTGTATCGATCCTGTAAACACGACACGTTAGTAATACTTTTTATTCCTCTGATATCCCATACACTACAGTTCTGCTTATATCGTTGGCTTATTACTTTAAAGGACGATACCTTCAGATTTTCTAGAGCAGCAACACTATCTTATGATGAAGCAGAAGACCAAATGGAAGTAGCACCAGACATAAGCAACAGTCAGTACGCATTTTTTCGACTTCTTGACTCCTCACACAGCCTACAGAAGATCTAATGAATCACGCAATTTCCGATGTGAACAGTAGCGAAAACCATGGGACAAGTGTCACACGAAAGGCTGCTAGCGAGATGAAGAGATGTTTACGTTACCGAGGTACAGAGCTTAAAGTAATTCAATGGTTATTGTAACAGAACTGTTGTGTGCCAAGAAGAGCTCACAAGTACTTTGAGAGCGAAACAAACATCTGCGATTGGAAAATTTTATTAGAAAATCGATCACAGTTGCTCTGTAAGAACACACACTGTCCGAACCTGGCACATTTCAGTTCTGCGGGCAGATGCTCTGATTTCACAAAGTAAGAGTAGCTCTTAATTCAGATCCTGCATTGTACACTCCTCTGTGGGCCAGTTTCCGAGGCCCAAAGGAAGAACGTGCAACAACTGCACAACGTACATCATGGTCTTTGCCAATTCATGTTTCTGCTTTTCTGAAAATGCGACCAGCCGATCATTGGGTATGGGTGGCGCTCCATCTACTTCACTGTTGCTCAATTTGCTCTATTTCATATAAATTCTTTTGGATTTCAGTTGATAACATGCTAGAATTCGCATCTTGGCGAATTTCTGAAAAGCATGTATCCATGACTGGAGCCTTCTCCACACATCGATACGCTGACCCCAAGCAGTATTCGAATTGGGACTTTTCTGTCGATCTTCGATGATTTTTTTTCAGCGGGACCGCTCTTTCCTTGTTACGTTGGAAGGCCGTCGTTGGCACTGTCAGTACAAAGTCATGAATTCTCAGCTAGGGAGCCAAGAAGAGGTATGACTGATTATTTGCTTTTTTATGATTTTCTTTACTTCGAAGGAATCTTCAAGATTAACATCATCGAAATCAGTCAAGCAGCAGTATTCAGTTCATTGTTAAGGCAAACGCATTTGAAGTACGTGAGAGATTAGTGGAAAATATGAGAAGCGTTATGGAAAGACGATGTCCGGATGCTTTTCTCGAGCAGTATCCACGCCAACACCATCGGCTCAATTTTCAGGTCCGCTACAAAAGCCAGTTCTAGACTTATGGACTAATTAGTAGGCGAGATTCAACGTTGTGAGGATCGAGGCTGCCCTTAAAGGCGAAGACATTGTAGTAAGGCATGTGCAAGAGCCGTGTAGTTTACTGCATCAAAGTAAATACAATGAATAAACTAATGAAAGCATCGCGTTTCACTGTCGCTTAGGTACCGATATTGCAATAAGACGATCGCTTCCAGCCCTCTGCCCAGAAGGCCAATGATTTTCATTCAGAAATTCACTTTATTTATTATTTATTGCTTGCGCCCGCTCCGGCACATGGAACAAAAAAACAAGTTGAAATGCAACGAACATAAACTCAAACTCGAACTTAATGCAACATAAAGTACTTGAGAAGTGGGAGAGAGATAAAAGCGGGTAAAATTGTGGATAAAACGTGCAAGGTAGCAAAAGCAAAGTAAGGAAACCGAACCATCATCGGAAAAAAAGTTGCTAGAGGCAGTACAACAAAGGCAGTCAAACCCCAGAGGTGGGCGGGGTTTGCACTAAAGTGGACGGGGCTTGGATCAAAAGTTCATAACGCTGTTTAAAAACGTTCTAGAATGCGGAGAAAGTGGTTAGGGAAAGCTAAAAGAAGGTTGGTCAGACTTTCATAGTTATGTTATTGATGTGATATGTATATTCATAGGGGTATGTTCTGAGGTGGACGGGGTTATGATCAACCACTAATTATTCTGCTCAAATAAAAGGTATCGTGTGGACGCCCTAAAAAGACCGCTTCAGAAGACCCAGCTTTGACGAAATACAGTGAACAGCGAATACCAAGCTTTTAAGAGACGCTATACGTATCAGAAAACTTAAAAGATGCATTTTGTCCAATATGTTGATTGTACTAAGCCTAAGTCAAACCTTGTTAAGAAGGAATGGCGTGTCGCTTTACGGATAACTGAAACAAGAATCAATCGTCGTTTACGTTCTTTTGGTATAGCACCAATATACATAGAAAGCTGGACTAGGAGGCAACCATCATTTTTGAATTTTGACGTAAGTTGCATTCAGTCGCTGAAACTTATCTCTGTGCGTTGATTCTGGTTCCTTTTTTTGATCCTTTGAGAGCTATTTGCAGTATTTGCCGAGAAGCACGATTTCCGTTCGTCTTCAGCGTGAGGTTTTCGCTGAAGGAGTTCGTCTCCGTTATATGTATCCAGAACTGACACGTGGATGTGAATGTCCGCGGCAGAAATGTGTGGTGGGGGAGTGTCCTTGCCTCGTGTACAAGAAGGTAATTACTTTTCCAAGTACTTCCAGAACTTTCAAAGCCATGGTGACTCTGGCGGTAAGCAGTTTCTGTCGAAACAATGCAAACATCTCCACTCAACTTAATGCATACATGTGAATTTTCGGGTTACTAAATTACAAGAGCGACGGGGTTGGTTGCGAAATTTCCTGTGTTAATGCAACATTAATTTAAACTACTTACTTGGCTGAATTTTTCTGTTTTACTGCTATGTTGACGATTACATGGGCCTGTCCAAGGCAAAAGCAAAATATAACGTTTCTTTTAGCCACCCGGCAATGACCTTACTTCATCGTCATTCTCACTTTGATGTTGAGAAGGGTCAGCCTCAGAGGCCGTTGGTCCTAGCCAAATATATCTCAAAAACTTTCAAACTTTTGGGTGGAGATGCTATGCATAACGCGCATGACTTCAGTCATCGAAGCCATTGACTGCATTCTTTACTTATTGTCAGATACATTTCCGAAACTGCTCTAGCCCAAAGTTTCAGAATAACAGCGTAATGATGTGCGGGCAGGCATGTGGTTGTGACGATTCTTGCCCATCTGCGTATCTCCGAGTAAGCAAATTCACATTTCTCGATCGAAGCAACTTTTAAGATGCTTTTTCATTTTTGATTAGGAGGAGCGTCAAGTTCCTTTGGTGTTATTCAATACGAAGAGTAAAGGTTGGGGTGTCATAGCACCAGTGAGGATCCCCGCCGGGACTTTTCTTGGACTCTATGCTGGTCACGTACGTTAACATCCTTTCTCTTTAGTTTTTCTCATCTCAGCTTGATCAATCGTACTTTTGCTATTACTTGGGTCTGCTAGATATGTTCAGCAGTTGTGTGTACAGTCCCCATATGAGGCAGATCATTTCAGATGGTGACGTCTGATGACCAAACGTTGTATGACAACACCTATGTATTCGACATAAATGTGAGTCTTTCTTTTCTAAACGGTTGATCAAGATTTCAAAAAAATCTAGAACTAGCCTTATCACATATGTTAGAATGTACGAAAAGTATTTGCCAGAAATTCCACAAGTTTTATGTGGGGCATTCCGAAGGTTTCTACAGAAATACTACACACTTGTACCAGCAATTTCATTATATTAGGTACTAACGACGCGTAGATTTTGCTTCGTTGCGTCTGTGGACTTTAGT